TGTTTTCTCACGATTAGATTCAGGTTAAACATTTTTGGCAAGGAAAGTGCATAGGTATGTAGTAAGGTTTTAATGCTGAAGGAATTAAGAATGAAAAGTAAAACAAAGGATACTTTTCCTCTTTTCTTTTCTGCAGGATTCTGAACACAAGCAGTTTGCTCTGTGACTGCCATTTGAAGTGGTTACTTCAGTGGCTGGTTGATAATAACTTTCAACATTCTGTGAATGTAAGCTGTGCACACCCTGAATGGCTAGCAGGGCAAAGCATCCTGAATGTGGATCTGAAAGATTTTGTCTGTGGTTTGTATTTTTGCTTTAAAATTTTATATATTACACACTTACTATCTTAACAAAAGAATTTAAAAAAAATTGGACCAGAATGCTTTCCCACTAGCACATCTATTTCCATTTCTCTGTGTTATTCTCCAACCCATGTTTCAATCATTACATCTTATATTTTTGTAATCGTAGGTTAAATTTTGTATTCTATGACTTGATATTTCATAAGCAGTGTTTTTCCTCTTTGTTCTTAGGTGATCATTTTATTTTATTTATTTTTTTATTATTTATTTATTTATTTTTTTATTTTTGAAACAGAATGTCACTCTGTTGCCCGGGCTAGAGTGAGTGCCGTGGCGTCAGCCTAGCTCACAGCAACCTCAAACTCCTGGGCTCAAGCGATCCTCCTGCCTCAGCCTCCCTAGTAGCTGGGACTACAGGCATGCACCACCATGCCTGGCTAATTTTTTCTCTATATATTTTTTTTAGTTGTCCAGCCGATTTCTTTCTATTTTTAGTAGAGACGGGGTCTCACTCTTGCTCAGGCTGGTCTGGAACTCCTGAGCTCAAAGGATCCGCCCTCCTCAGCCTCCCAGAGTGCTAGGATTATAGGCGTGAGCCACTGCGCCAGGCCGGATGATCATTTTAAATGGCAGTATAATAGCATTTTTATGAATGTGTGTGTGGGCCTTTCCCTTTTATTTATTTATTTATTTTTTTGGGGACAGAGTCTCTGTTGCCCTGGCTAGAGTGAGTGCCGTGGCGTCAGCCTAGCTCACAGCAACCTCAAACTCCTGGGCTCAAGCGATCCTCCTGCCTCAGCCTCCCGAGTAGCTGGGACTACAGGCATGCGCCACCATGCCCGGCTAATTTTTTCTATATATTTTAGTTGTCTGATTAATTTCTTTCTAATTTTAGTAGAGGCGGGGTCTCGCTCTTGCTCAGGCTGGTCTCGAACTCCTGAGCTCAAACAATCCACCCGCCTCGGCCTCCCAGAGAGCTAGGATTACAGGCGTGAGCCACCGCGCCCGGCCGGCCTTTCCCTTTTAGAGGCATTGTTAACCTTGGGATAAGTATCTGGTAGTAAGGTTCCTGAATCAAAAAATATGATTTTTTTTTTACATGAACATTTTTAGTAGATCTTGAAAAGTGACACCAGGTATTTTCCAAAAAGATAGCAGTAGTTTATGTTATCACCAGCAATGTATGAATGTACTAATTTCATGTAGTTTGTATTTTTGATGTAGTTTCTTAAGACTAAAGTGTCAGGGTTTTGGTTTTTCCTTGAGGGGAATAGTCATAGGCAAGTTGTCCTGATTCTAGCACTTATAATTTCAAATAATGAATTATATTGTACTTTCTCAACTTGGAAATTTTTCCTTTACACTTAACTTTCCTTTAAAGTGAAATGACTGATTCTTAGCTTTACATAGGAGAACTTTTAGATCATTGTATCTGTGTTGCATATCACTAGTATCTCTGATCATTTGGGTACCTGTATTAATACATTGCCAGATCTTTTTTCACAATCCACTTAAAGGTGCTTGAGACACTTGGAAGTTCAGGCCCACAAAGTACTTCCATTGTTTTAACAAATTTTAAAGAAGAAAACAAAGAATCTAGTAAAGATTAAATTCTGTTTACATTGCCACACATTCCTTTTTTTTTTTTTTTATAACATAATGGGTTTATATTTAATATAGTACTTCTCACCAGGAGGATGTTAATTAATATTTTTTTTTTACAATAGACCTTTTTATTTCAACGTCAATATACAATTTTTTTAATTAAATCTTTTTTTTCATTTCAATATTAGAGACATTGAATACATTTTCCTAAATGTTTTTTACCTAGTGATAAACATTTCAATTTTTGGCTGTGTGGTATCTAAATACAATATTAACTTGGGAGATAAAACAAAAATCTAATAAAAATGTGGAGAAGAGACTCCTCAACAATTCAGGAGGCAGTGATTATAACTTAACAGTGGCAACTTCCTAGATTCTGGGCAAAAGCTTCCTTCCTGTTTCATGTGCTTTGAAAATTCTAAAACTACGATATATTATACATGTAAATTTCAGCCATCTTACTTCTTTGACCGCCTTTCTAATGAGCAAATACAAATTATAGGCTACACTTTTTAGTATGTTACTTGTTGTAAAGAAAACAAGTTTTCCCATTTATATATCAGTGTATTCCCATTTTAAGAGAAACAACAAAGAATATGAAACTCCCCTGCTTAGTGTTGCTTGGAAACTTTCAGATACCAAAGTTCAGGTTTAGCCTCAACACAAAAGTGTTCAGGGCAAGGTTTGATTAAGGAGGTCCTTCAAAGTCACATCTGTCCTTTTCTGTGCAAGTACCCCCAGGCAAGCACAAATGCCTGTAATGCTGAGAGCCACACCTAAGGAGAGAGCAATTGCATCTCTAGCTTCCACTGCTTCAACAACAGGCAGTACCAAAAGCAATGAAATGAGGACTGAGAGCAATTGTGTTGAAGCTGAAGTCACGATGTTGGAATCTTGAGGGCTGAAAGTTCCAAAGAAATTGTGTATATATAATTCTGTCTGACTTGGAATTTTTCCTTTCCTGGAGCTCCGGATGCTAAGGCTAAGAGGTTCCAAGTGGTACAGCCTTCCAGGAAGCAGCCATTACAGGAATCCACACATTCCCTTTGACTGAGTTTTAAATGTGGACATACTATGTATTTTATGCTCCTTTTCCACTTTTCACTTTTATGGCACAATGAAATGTTACCCAGTGAAGATACTGGTTAAGAATTCATATACCTGCTTCTCTGAATCAGTCAAATAATATTTTTATTTATGAATTTATATTTTATCAGCCAGCCATAAGCCAATCTTGATTTAGACATTTGACATGTCTGGAATTTTTTACTATTTTAGGTAAAAGCTATGCACATACAAAATACTTTCAAATAATTTGTTTTATTAATAGGTATTCCTTGTGAAATATAAGTTCATAATCCCCATGTTCTACATTGACACAGAAAAGATAGTGGTTATATACATGTTTATATATGTATTATATACATATATATACACAGGGTAATAGGATTAGAACTTGTCTTGAGATTCTAATATAAGGTTTCTCTTTGTCCCCAATAACTGGTGATCCTTAAGAAATACATTCTAATCACACAAGTGACAGTAAAGGATAGTAGAAAGAGTGCTGAATCCCGAAGTCAGGAAACTTGAGTTCCAGTCCAGGTTCTGACACTGACTCACAAGTCTTTGAACAAGTCACTTGACATTTCTGGGCCTCATTTTCCCCATCAAGTAAACAAACAAGGGAATTGGGCTCTAGTGCTATAGTTGCTTTCAGCCTTAATATGCTGTGTTGTAAACAGAACACACAGTTTGACAGTATTTGTTTTAAAATTGAATCTTAAGAAGCAAAGATGAATAACTGACTTGGCTACTGCTGCATTTTTCCCCCTTAGATGATTTTCTGAAGCCACAGATGAGGACACATCCTGAAAACACAGTTGCTCTAAGAGGCATGAATGTGACTCTCGTGTGCACTGCAGTGAGCAGCGGTGATTCACCCATGTCCACTGTGTGGCGCAAAGACAGTGAAATCCTCTATGATGTGGATATCGAGAATTTTGTTCGTTATCGGCAGCAAGCTGGAGAAGTTCTGGAATATACCAGTGTCTTACATCTCTTCAATGTGAATTTCACAGATGAAGGAAAGTATCAGTGTATTGTTACCAATCACTTTGGCTCCAATTATTCTCAGAAAGCCAGACTGACTGTGAATGGTAAGGAATTATGCTCCTTGATTTTTTTTTTTTAGTTTCAAAGAATTTTTCATGTTCAGTTTTTAAATCACTTGACAAAAAATTAGGCTAAACCTGACATTAGAGGAGGGAATCTTACTGTTGTCTTTTAGACTATGATACTGTATGGAGTGGGTGGGATTTTTGGATTAGCCAGTCTGCCCACTTAGTCTCTCTAATTGGTCTTTGAAGGGTAAATTTTGTAGACCTAGGAGATATACACTACTTTCACTGTTTATGCTTTTTAAAACATTCTTTCGAAATTCTCAATTTTCTTTCTAGAACCATACATCTCTCCTGAAAACTATGTAATTTGTTCCTGATGGGCCTTCTACTAACTAGGAATATTTAGCACATTTCTAGGTCCAGTGATCATTGTTATTGTCTAAATGTAATCACAATCATTGTTTGAAATTAATGCTCTTCTTCCCTGTGGCTGCAAAAAACTTCTCCAAAATAGTTTGATTTCTTTATTGCTTATGAGATTGAGTAACTACAACATTTTTGGCTTTGTGCAGCTGAAAGATGTGCTTGTGTCTTGCTTCTGTATTTTTTAATGAG